AGCAGGAATAGCACTGCAATCTGCACTCTTGTAAATGTGCATTGCTGTTTGATATTTGAATCAATCAGACAATAAAGAAATCCAACCAGTCAGAGCTCAGCTAGGCTGGCCAGATACATGCAGAGCTCTCAAACTGACCTGCCTTGGGAGTTGATATGGCACTTTATACACAACATCGACCACTTGAAGAAGTGAATTGCCTGTGACTAGGATAGAATACAAAAATAACAATGCTATCACTATTGTAGAAAGGTCTGCAATAGGACCAAGACAGAACATTTAAATCAGATTACTCAGAGACAGAAGTGGAAACTGAAAGGTTGATTTTGCTAGTATATGACTTTACTGTATGACTTTCTGGTAGCCTCTAGCTACTTTTGATCTCTACTCACAAACATAAAGTTATCTTTGCTTTCACAAATCACATCTACTAAGTGGATAAGATTGGGATATCAGTGGTGGTGTTGGAGAAGTTGACCAAGATTTTTAATTTTCATGTCATCCTTGCGCAGGGGCCATGCTAATCTTCTCTGTATCGTTCCAATTTTAGTATATGTGCTGCCGAAGCGAGCACAGATTTTTAATTTTCTAACCCTATCTTAGAACTCAATAGATAGACACAAAATGTATTTTTTTCCTGAAATGAACAAAACACTTTAAAACAATGAATCTCAGGCCAGCCGGTGGTGTGGTAGTTAAGGTGCTGGACTCTCACATGACCAGTTCGAGTCTTGGACTTTTTTCTGAAATGAACAAAACACTTTAAAACATTGAATTAAAGTGCTGGACTCCCACATGACCAGTTCGAGTCTTGGACTCAGTGGCTTGAAAATTATGCTGGGCATATGTGTGTGCATGCCCAAAATCCTGAGAGGAGAATGCAGGAGAAGAGATTGTTGCATGACCACCACACCCCGCCCCCCGTGGGGGGGAAGGTGGAGTAGGGGGGCAATTTCTCACTTTCTCTCTCTGTGTGTCTGTTTTTCTCCTCTCTGTTGAGCACATGCACCCTATGACAAATACCTTAAAAAACAAAAAAGAAAGAAAAGAAAAAGGAACTTCTTCAATGTTCAGCCAGGCAAGTGTTCTGGTTAAATGCCAGGCAACAATTTTCAATTTCCTTCTTTTGTAAGACCCCAGAGGTCCTAACCTCCTAGTCAACTTTTTTCTTTCTTTCTTCTTTCTTTCTTTCTCCTTCCTTCCTCCTTTCTATTTGACAGAAAGCATGTATGCTCACTAGAGAGAGACAGAGAGGGTGAAAGTAAGAAAGCAATCCCAGTGGGGAATGGCCATGTCATAGTCCCTTCTCCTCTATTTTCTTTCTTTATGAAATTCTGGGCATGTACATGCTTGGTATGTTTTTCAAGCTGCTGGGTCTCGGATTCAAACTGCACAGTCAGCCATGTAAAATCCAGCTGCCTTAATCACCAAGCCACAGGCTGGTCCTCCAGTCAATTTCTTTCTTTCAAGCAATCCCAGTGGGGAATGGCCATGTCATAGTCCCTTCTCCTCTATTTTCTTTCTTTATGAAATTCTGGGCATGTACATGCTTGGTATGTTTTTCAAGCTGCTGGGTCTCGGATTCAAACTGCACAGTCAGCCATGTAAAATCCAGCTGCCTTAATCACCAAGCCACAGGCTGGTCCTCCAGTCAATTTCTTTCTTTCTTAAAAAAAAAAAATTAGAGAGGTTTTTGCTATAGGGCATGTGTGTTCACTAGGGAGACAGAGAGAGAAAGTGAGAAATCACCCTCCAGGGAGAATAGCCACAGTCTATTCTCCTCCATTCCCCTCTTGGGATTTTGGGCATGCACACACACATGCCAGATGTGAGTTTCAAGCCACTGTATTTGGGACTTGAACTGCAGTCAGTCGTATGAGAGTCCAGTGATGTAACCATATGCTGATCCCCAATTTTTTAATAACAACATATCAGTCATGTGAGAGTCCAGTGATATAACCATATGCTGGTCCCCAATTTTTTAATAACAAAAACCCCTTATCCTGAGTGAAAATATTTCCTTGTTTTAGATTAAAGCTCCTCACGTCCAGGAACATCTTCTTCACAGCTAACTGTTGTCAACACTACAGTAGGCCCAACCTTGTAATCCAATATCAGTGAGAAAGGGAAAAATATGGATCACATCATGGTCTAGTTGTGTACCTCTCTGAGCCTCAGCCAGCGGGTGGCAGGTGGATATGATGGGGAAGAGACTACACAAGGATTTGTGTGTGCTGAGAACCTCCTTCCAGGAGGTTTCTATGTATAGTTGGGGAGATGGGTTTGCAAGGAGAGGTCCTGGCTATGATAGGACACAGAGTAGGAGCTCTGTTGGTAGGTACTATGACCCAAGAAGATAGAATACAGTGAGAAAAGAAGGGGATCCAGGACAAATCCCCAGGAACATCAGTGCTTAAAGAAGAAACAGAAGTAAAGGATTCAGGAAAGGTCCCTACAAGGATGACTGTAGAGGGAAGAGAAAAATCCAAGGTGAGTGCTAGTCCAGAGGATGAAGAATTCTGTGAAGGATGTGGCCAACAACGAAGGTTAAGAACTGAAAGTTCACTGAGTTTGACAAATATGAAGTAATTTTAGAGAGGGAGTGATAGAAGGAAAAGGCAGACTGCTGAAATGTTCATGATGGCAAGAACAGAGGGATTCGTTTTGAAAGGAAGTTTCCCTCCCTATGGCACCACAAGAGAAGAAATAATGTTAGGTGAAAACATAGCTAATTTTGGAAGAGAATGGTAAGGCCAGGGGCTAGAGAAATCTACAGAAAATTTATGTGTTGTGACCTTTACTATGTGAAGTGAGAGAACACTGGAGTGGTGGCAGAGCAGATGTAGTAAAGACGTGAGAAAAGCGGTGATGCTTTGGTTCAAACCTTTGAGGGATGGGAAAGGAGGAAGAATAAATGAGTGTGGTAAGAATGCTTGTTTTGCAAGGCCCAGATTTTAGAGGTAGATGTTAGCAGGAGGCAGGAACTTCGATGAGTTCTTGGAATAGAAGAGAAGGCTATAGACATGGGAAAAGTAAGATTCTGGGAAATGAGATACTGGGAGGATCCTTTGACCATTCCTAAGGGCATCTGAGGAGGCAGCAGGGTTTGGGGGTAGAGAATTAGACTGTGAACCAATGCCAACCTTGAGCAAGTCTGGAACACATATCTGCCTTATGCCAGGTGCTGAATGCTATGGTCCCAGGAAATACAGGGGATAAATTGAATCTAGTCAGAGTATAAGAGGGCTGGGAGGAGAAGACAATGATCCAGTTTAGTTTTGTGACTCTAGAAGACTAAAGGGGACTCATGGACAAGAGTCATGGGGAATGGACATTCCTATTAATAGCAGTGGGGGTTGGGGGACCAAGAGAATTCTACTCCCCTGGATGGTGGATTGTTTTTAAGGATGTGGTGGTGAGACTGTGGGAAGACGAGCAGCCTCCCCTGGAGAAGGCTGCCGAGAAGCAGAATCATTAGGGACACACCACGTGCCTAGCCATGTGTTAACCACTTGACTAACGACAGTGTTTGGCCCTGCTCTGAGGGTCCCTGGAATCTTTTTGAGCACCCATCTGTGCTGCCAGACCTTGAAGGGTTTACTGTTTCTCTCTGCTCTGTTGGCTAAGCCCTGCTCACACAGGGATAATGAAGGTCTCATTTGCCTCCAACAATATGGTGCCTTTCTGCATAATTTACATGTTTTCTTCAAGGCTCAGACACTAAGTAATGAGGTAACAAATTCTGGTGCAGGATTTTGATACTAAGACATGGAAACCCAGACTCTGTGCCTTCATTCTTCTGTGGTATCTTCCAGGGCAAGTCTGTGGCCTGGAAAGGTATCTCTCTGTCTTGGTCTTGGCAGGCACCTGCTAAAGGGAGGACTTGAACTTCGTAGTCTCACTGGAAGCCAGCTCTGCGTCACTGTCATCTCCTGAAATTCAGCCATGGTCAGTATGTTAATAAATACTTTTCTAAGACTGGCTTTTGATTCTATTACTTATAAAGCATTTACATGTGTTAGCCACTGTGCTGAGGATTTACATGAACTACATATTATTTTAATCTGTACAATTAGTGAAAGAGGTTCCTTTCTTCCTTCTTTTTCTTTTCTTTTTTCTTCTCTTTTCTTTCTTTTTCCTTTTATCCCTCTCTTTCTTTTGTTTCCTTTTTCTCTCTCCGACTCTCTTTCTTTCTGTCTTTTTTTCTTTCTGAAGAAGGCGACTTAGAGGTTTAGAGAAAATTGATTGTCTATGGACACAGCATCTGTCACAGATAGGATTTGTACTCAGATATTTGGACTCTAGAGCCTGCCTCTTAGCCACTACTATCCTGCCTCCTCAGGTCTTCTATTTTCTACACCGTTTGGATTCAGTGTGCTAATAGTGCTTCAGGATTATTCCTCCTTATCCGTTCCAGGAACTCATATTATGGACACAGTCTTCCCCTGCTAACATCTACCTCTAAAATCTGGACTTTGAAAACAATCCACCTAGCCACACTCTTTTATTCTTTTTCCCCTCCCATCCCTCACAGGCTTGAGCCAAAAGTCACTGCTTTTCTCTTTTTAAGACAGAAAGATTTTTGCTATAGGGCACATGCACTCGCAGGAGACCCAGAGAGAAATAGAGAGATAGAAAGCAAGAAATCACCCCCTGGGGGTTATGGCCACACCGCAATCCCTTCTACTCCATTCTCTTCTAAGGATTTTGGCATACATACACACATGCCCGGCATGAGTTTCAAGCCAACAAGTCTGGGACTGAAACCATGATTGACTATGTGGAAGTCCAGCAGCATAACCATTATGCCATCTGCTGGTCCCTAGTAGCAGATATTCTTAGCAGTATTTCGTAAGTTTTCTCAAGTAGGTGATGGATTTTAATTCTATTAGTTCTTTGCTATTGACCAGATACCAGCCTTTGGTACATCAGGCCTAGAGGTAGGTTCTGGGAACTCATACAATATAGGTTTATGCTGGTCACCAAGACCTAATAAGATTCAAAGTCAGGCCAGATGGGAACTCAACTGACTGGCATGGGAGTAGAATACACCCATGGCACCATCCATGCCAAAAGCTTCTATATTTTTCTAAGTTTTAGAATATAAAATAAGGGATCCTTCAAATCTTCCAAATCTTTGACTTAGTCCAAAACTAGTTTCGTTGTTCTATATGAATTCCAACACTTTTTAAAAAATTATTATTTATTTAATTTTATTTATTTACTATTATTATTTAAGTTTGCTATAGGGCACATGTGCTCACCAGAGAGAGAGAGAGACCAGAGAGAGAGAGTCAGAAAGCAGGACACTCAGGCCTGCGACTCAAACCATGGTTGACCATGTGGGAGTCTAGCACCTTAACCACTACACCACCTGCTGGCCCCTAATGCTTTTTTCATAAATTAGTCAAAGCTGTCATTCTAGGTCACTCCTGCCTGTACCCTTTCAGTCTCAGTAATTCCTGATGGTTTAGATTTGTGTCATTAATATGTAGTGGGGATTAAATAGCAGATGAGCAAAACTGCAATGCAGTATCAAGTTACTAGAGGTGAAGGGACATGGCTGGCACAGCA